AGGGCCGGGGGAGCAAAGGGGGGCGGGGAGACTCGGGGGGGGGGGGGACGAGTAACCCACGTTCCAGCTCCACAAAAGGGCCGGACCCTTTCCCCAGCGACGCTCGGGCGTTCACCCTCCTACCTGCGCTTGATCTCGTCCGGGGGGCGCACCAGCTCGCAGGCCGAGCCCAGCTTGGTGAGGACGGAGAAGACCTGGCCCCGCTCCTTCCAGGCCGCGTCGTCCCAGCCCTCCACCCCTCGCCAGGTCACGGAGAAGATGATGTTGGTCAGGAGGTTGCAGAGCTCTTCCTCGGGGGTCTGCTGCGGAGGACGAGACCCAGAGAGGGGGCTGCAGGGGTTGGAGACCAAGCCTTCGCAAGACAGCCCATTCTACTGAGCATATGACTGACCCCTTTTCTGTCTGTCAAACCCGCTAGCCGCCTTTTCACCCCTCAAGAGTACCCAGGGGTCATTTCCTGCAGGAGCGCAAAGGAGCGGAGCTCCGGCAGTAAAGAGCCCAGGGGGCGGGCACATGGAACAAGCCCCGCCCCCTGCTCCCAGCAGCCCTCAGTCAGAGCAAGAAGCAGCCAGGTCAGTTGCAGAACCTCCCCGCCCCCCGGCCCCCTGGTCCAAAACAGTCCAGTGGCACCTTTAAGGCCAAGTTTTATTCAGGTACAAGCTCTCCCTCCTCTGTGAGGGCAAATCTCCACGTTCCCCCCCCCAATAGCTAGCAATCCGAAACAGTCCAGCAGAGCCTGAGCGGTGGGTGTTGCCTTCTGACACACTTCCAGCAATGTCAGGGGGTGTGGCATATGCAAACAAGTTATGCTAATGAGTTCTGCTAAGGAGCTCCTGCGCCTCTTTTTCTACGAAATGACCCCTGAGAGTACCAGAGTTGGAAAGACCGAGAGGTGTGCTGTTCACAGCCTTTGAGTCCAGGGTTCTGCTTTGGTCCTTTGTCAGACTGTAAGCTTTTGGGGGCAGGGATCTCCTTGCCTGTTTCAAGCCCTGCCGCCCGTACATTAAACAAGGTTTTCTTAATTTGTTCTCAAAACTCACACCAGGCGAAGAACATGTCATGTGGCACTTTAACAGTGTAGCCACTTAGAGGCACGATGGGCTTCTGCAAGCCCATCCGGAACACCGTCCTGTGGTTCTGGTCCGAAATTCCCGCCGCAAAATTTCTCTTTCTGTTCCCCAACCTTTTCCATCATACACTTGTATCCTGCCCACCCTCGGAGAAACGTACAAGGTTTTCCTCTACTCCCTTTTACCCTCACAACAACCTTGTGAGGTGGGCTAGGAGGCCCTTAGCTACAATGGGGCTTTTGGGGGCTGGGCCTACAAATCCCAGAAGGCCTTGGGAAATTTTGGCGTCGATTTTTACCAATAGGGAAGAAGAGGTCAGGGGAATAAAAGAACTGGTATAAGGGGGGAAAGCTGTTCTTCTTCCCAGGGAACCCCTGAGGCTGCTGTGGGGAAGAGACCCTCATCCTGAGGGAAGGGTGAGTAGTCTAAGGCCACTTGATATAGTGAGCTAGGGACAGTATATATTTAGATGCGTTAGGGCATTTGATTTCTTTTCTTTTCACCCACTTACTGTTATTACTCTGCACCTTGTTTGTTTGACCTCCTATAAAATAAACTCTTTTCATTGTTCACTCTGCCTGGTCCTCACGCCTATTATTTGGCCAAAAGGGAGGTCAGAAGGTCTTGGGAGGGTGCTCTGGGCCTTCTCAAGGGATCCTAAATCCAGAGTGGTGGCAGCGTCAGGTGACACCCCACCTGAGCCGTGACAGGCCCCGTCAGCACTCCCCCTTCTAGCTGCGCACCCGCAGCAAGGAGGAAACTCACCTGAGGGTTGCTCGTGTTGGAGATGTTGTCGCTGGGTAACATCTCCTGGTAGCTGGTCTCATCTAGAACGTTGGAGAGGCTGGAACTCTTCCGGGCTCGTGTCCCCGGGAAGGGCTTGAAGTTCTCCAGGGGAGAAGGGGTTCCGGGTAAGCTGACGGGTGTCTGGTTCCCACTCTCGGCCGTGGCTGCGGAACTGGTGCTACCCATGTCCAAACCGAGGTCGAAGGGGGACATGGAGAAGGGAGAAAGAGGGTGGTAGACCCTGTCCACGTGGACCGTGTCTCCGGCGTGGGCGTCACCCTGCCCGGGAAGGTCGATGATGTTGGAAGATGAGGAATGGCTGGCGAGGTCCAAGGAGTCAAAGGGTTTGAAGCCGTAGGGGTGGAAAGGTTTGCCCCGCTGGTTGGTGGGGGAGATGGAGTGGTCCGAGAAACCTTCTGAAAGCTCTTGGTCCGAGGCCTCGTAGCCTAGCGGGAGGAAGACGTCGAGGTCCTGGAGATCGGTGGTGGAAGGGCTCAGGGTGTCTGTGGACTCCCTCCCCGTTTCTGGGGCCGGCGGGTCGGAGATCCTCAGGAGCTCGAGGCAGCCCCCGCTGTTGGTGGACCCCGACAAGCTGTGTTGGCGGGACTCGTAGGACTCCTTGACGTACAGCTTGGTGAGGGTATCTTGCCAGCTGGCCAGCTTGGCCAGCTGCTTCACCATGTCGTGCTGGGAGTAGATCAGGTGGAAGAGCTTGGAGAGGAAAGGAGGAGACGTTTAGTGACCGGCTCAGGGCTCGAGCCTCCAAGGACGGCTCGAGAGAAGCCGACAAAGGGATAGCGCCTGCCAGAAACTAACTCAGAATCATAGAACCATGGGGTTGGAAGGGACCTCCTGGGTCATCTAGTCCAACCCTCTGCACAATGCAGGAAATTCACAACTACCTCCCCCCCACACACCCACATCGACTCCTGCTCCGTGCCCAGAAGAGGGCAAAAAACCTCCAAGATCCCAGGCCAAACTGGCCCAGAGAAAAATTGCTTCCTGATCCTGACCCCAAAGTGGCAATCAGCATTTCCCTGGGCGTGTAAGAAAGGGCCACGAGAACTAAGCACTGAGGCAACCCTTCCTGCCCTCCCTCTCATGATCTGCCTAAGTTCACAGAATCCGCAATGCTGTCCAATGGCCGTCTAGCCTCTGTTTGGAAGCCTCCAAAGAAGGAGAGCCCACCACCTCCCGAGGAAGCCTGTTCCACTGAGGCACCGCTCTAACGGTCAGGAAGTCCTTCCTAATGTTTAGCCGGAAACTCTTCTGATTTAATTTCAACCTGTTGGTTCTGGTCCGACCTTCCGGGGCAACAGAAAACAACTCTGCACCATCCTCTATACAGCGACCCTTCAAGTACTTGAAGATGGTGATCGTGTCACCTCTCAGTCGTCCCCTCTCCAGGCTAAACATACCCAGCATGGTCGAAGCAGTGGGAAATCTAGAACTGGACTATGTCTCCCATTGTGAAATTAAATTGTTTCCTGCAGTATGTAATGAAGGGGGCAAATTCAGCCTCCTGACCACTGTTCCCTCTAAGCTGTGGAGTCTTGTGAGCAAAAATTCTACTCTGTGAGCTACTGGCATGAAATTTGTGAGCGAGCGATTTGGCTACTGCCTAAATTAGTTCGCTCTGGAGTCATCCTTCCTGAGCGAAGACAAAAATCTGTGAGCTGGAGGTTGAAAAACTGTGAGCTAGCTCACACTAACTCAGCTTAGAGGGAACACTGCTCCTGACCCATCCTTAGACTCCTCCTGCCTCAGCAGTAAGCGCTCTCAAAGAAGGCTCCTAGCCAATGCTCCCCACATGATGCTCAGATGTAACTGGTATAACAAGATCCGTGACAAATATATTACTCCTCTTATAACAGATATGGTGGGACAATCAGGTGCTGAGCAATGTAACCGATTATTAATTGATGGAAACCGGACAATTACCGAAACTGTGGCAAATGTTTGGGTAGCATGCTACTGCATCCGAAATACACTATCAGATATATAATAATAGTTGCCTAATAGTCTCTGTTTTATGTTCTTCTTTTACTTTATTACACTCAACTGTATTTTTATAGAGTTTTATTTTACTGTCCTAAATTCAGTTATATGAATGTTATGAATGTTATATTTAAGCAAGTGTGTTTTATGGCTTGTTGCCGTAATAAATGCCTGCTCTGCTCTGCTCAATGCTCCCTCTAAGCTGTGGAGTCTCGTGAGCAACAATTCTACTATGTGAGCTCCTGGCATTACAGTTCTGAGCGAGCGACTTGGCTACTGCGTTTGCTCTGGAGCCCTCCTTCCTGAGCTAAGACAAAAACATGTGCGCCGGAGGCTAAGGAGCTGTGAGCTGGCTCACACCGACTCAGCTTAGAGGGAACACTGCTCCTAGCTCAACAGAAAACACATGCTTCTGATGCAAAAGGATTTTGGGCTTGATCCCGGGCACCTCCTGCGGAGGGGAAGGAGGGCAACACGGCACAGCCTGGTCTCGTGAGCTCGCAGAAGCCAAGGAGGGTCGGTACTTGGACGGGAGACCACCAAGGAAGGCTTTGCAGAAGCAGGCAATGGCAGACCACCGCTTACTTTGCTGAGGTGACTCTAAGTTGGTTGCGTCCCCGGAAGCGTGTCAGAAGGCAACACCCACCGCTCAGGCTCCACTGGACTGTTTTGGATTGCTAGCTATTGGGGGGGGGGGATATGCAGATCTGTCCTCGCAGAGGAGGGAGAGCTCATACCTGAATAAAACCTGGACTTCCCCCCCCCCAATAGCTAGCAATCCAAAACAGTCCAGTGGCACCTTTAAGACCAAGTTTTATTCAGGTACAAGCTCTCCCTCCTCTGCTAGGACAGATCTGCATATTTCCCCTCCCCCCCAATAGCTAGCTATCGAAAACAGTCAATTTTCAAGTTTCTTGGAATCACAAGTTCCCAGCCATCGCTCTGACTCACCTTTCTGCAGATGTCCAGCCTGACGGTCAATTCCGCCCGATGGGACAGGTAAACCACCGCAACCAAATCCTTGTAGTTCGGGGCGTCTAGAAGCAAAGAAGAGAGCAGGCCGTGAGCGCCCAAGGACACGGTGAGGTGCCCAACAGTTGCACCATTATGGTACCAGGGCAGCCCCCCGAGGTTGCTGTCTCCCAGCCACTGATAACCAGCCATACCTACCTACATCAATGGGCCGGACTCCCCCTACAGCAAGCTATGATTACTGATTTTATATGCTTATAATGTGTTTTAAAATTTTATTGTATTTATGTAAATTATGGAGCCAGTTTGGTGTAGTGGTTAAGTGCGCGGACTCTAATCTGGGAGGACCGGGTTTGATTCCCTACTCCTCCACTTGCAGCCGCTGGGTGACCTTGGGGCAGGCCATAGTTCTGTCAGAGCTGTTCTTGAAAAAGAGCCGTTTCTGCCAGAGCTCTCTCAGCCCCCCCTCCCTCCCAGGGTGTCTGTTGTGGGGAGGGGAAGGGAAAGGAGTTTATAAGCTGCTCTGAGACACCTTTGGGTCGTGAAGGGCGGGGGGTATAAATCCAATCTCTTCTTCTTCTAAATGCTGTAACCTGCTCTGAGCCCATTTACGGGATGGGCGAGATATAAATGCGAAAAATAAATTAAAAATAAAATAAATTTTTACAGCCCCGTGGGCTTTGTTTGGAGCTGTTTCGCCAACACCCCACCTAGTCCTGAGTGAGGTCTTGGTCCACAGTCCAGGAATTCCCTGTTCTTTCTGAAGTGTACACTATACCAGGTATTGGGATGTTGCTAGATGCTACTGGGCATTGATACTGAATACATGCTATTGAGTCTTACTTGAGTATGGTTTTAGAGTTAATGGGTATGGTTTTAGAGTTAATGTCAGCAAGCTGCCAATATGTTTCCCTATTCTCTGTGTATGCTCTTATGTTTCCCTATTCTATGGGTATGCGCTTGTTTGCTTTCGCTTTCCCATGTATGCCTGTTTATGCGCTTACTTGCCTAGTTGCAGGAACGTCCGTATCTCTCAAGGCCACAGGTGGTTGCTGGCGGGTAGTAGCTTGGGTGATCTCATGCATTATCCATGAGAAGCAGTATGTTATGAGTAAGTAGGAGCGTTGCTTCCCAGGCTCAATGGCGCGCACGGGAAGACCCGCAATTGGGCCTCAGCTTTTTGAATTTCCTATAATCTATTGGGATCCATGCTTATGCCTCATTCTGAACAGCGATCCTGTTATGCACCTATTGCTTCAAATAAAGTAAAACCTTTTCTACAATTGTGTGCTTCGTTGATGCGATGGGAGTCTGACAGCTTTCAGTTTAAGGCCACTGTTCTCGCTGTGCTCATCTCCCTCTGGAGGCCCGAGTTCCCTAGCCAGACTCCACCCACCCATAGAAAAGAACCCTAATGGGGTGGGGGACCCCTGGAAAAGGCCTGGACCCCGAAAATCCCCCTACACCAGCAACCCTCCCCCAGCCTTTAACACACAGGTGCGCCTTACCTGATCCGAGGACTTGCTCCAAGAGGTGTCTTGCATGGAAACGGGGACGTCATTCAGGGAGGAGATGAAGCCCTGGTAGCCGATGTCTTTCAGCTTCAGGCGGTGCTTGCTCCGCTCGCTCACCCTCTCGTATTTCAGCAGCTTGTACAGGATCTGCGTGCAGCAAGGAGGATGGCAACTAATGGGCCGGGGATCCTTCCTCAGTCTAGAATGGACAACTGCTGAGAGGAAGGCTGGTTCTGTGAACTTGGGCAGATCACAAGAAGGGAGGGCAGGAAGGGTCGCCTTGTGGCCCTTTCTGACACGCCCGGGGAAATGCCGATCGCCACTTTGGGGTCAGGAAGCAGTTTTTCTCCAGGCCTGTTTGGCCAGGGATCCTGGAGGGTTTTTTTTGTCATCTTCTGGCCATGGAGCAGGGGTCACTGGGTGTGTGTGTGGGGGGGGGGAGGTATTTGTGAATTTCCTGCACTGTGCAGGGGGTTGGACTAGATGACCACGGAGGACCCCTTCCAACTCTGCGACGATTCTATGACTTCCCAGTGGATCTCCCTGCTTTGGCAGGAGCAAGACCTGATGGTGTGCGCCTGGCTGCCCCTAAAATGGACAACCCCATATCTCCTCCTCCTCCTCCTCTCTTCAGACACAAGAAACCTACAGCCTTTAGCATCAGAAACCCCAACAAAGGATCCCCCTCTTCCCCGGGTCCACGAAAGACTTGCCCTAAACATTCTACGAAACCAGATCACATGACTGTTCCAGCCTCGAGAGCCCCAAAGAAGACCATGGCTCCTAGATTGTGTTCCTACTCATCACATGTTTTATCTTATTCGATTCAAGCAGCGAGAGAGGAAAAGGATGCTCCAGGGTTGGGGGAAGCATTATTTCCAAGTTGTGCGTCTTCTGCACCGTCTAGGTCCACATGAACCCATGAAGCTGTCATGTACTGAATCAGACCCTCGGTCCGTCAAGGTCAGTATTGTCTACTCAGACTGGCAGCAGCAGGTTTTTCCCATTACCTCCTGCCTGGTCTTTTTAACTGGAGATGCAGCCAGGGATTGAACCTGGGACCTTCTGCATGCCGAGCAGATGCTCTGCCACTGAGCCACAGCCCCTCACATGAAGCAGCCTTCTACTGAATCCGAACACCAGTCCATCAAGGTCAGTACTGTCTACATAGACTGGTAGTGGCTCTCCAAGGTCTTAGGCCTTCACATCACTTCCTGCCTGGTCCTTTTAACTGGAGATCCTGGAGATCAAGGCACCGTCATATCATCTGCAGCAGAACAGCGGATCAAGACAACCCCTCCCGTTAGAGCGGTGCCTGAACTGAGCCAGACACCATCCTATTATCTACTCCAGTCCAGTGGGCAACAAGTGACGTAGGAGAGGAGGAGGAGACAGGATTCTCTCACCTTGAATATTCTCTCTCGCACGTCATCGGAGAACTTCCTCTGAACGAGAAGTGAGAAGAAGATCTCGATGTTTCCCGGCTCAAACAGGAACGTGAAGAGGTGCTCCTGGGCAGGAGAGCTCTTCTGCAAGCTGTGCATCACCTCCAGCACCCCGCACACCTGCAGGGGGCATGAGAACACGTCACATCGCTACAGAGGGGATGGGAGTATAGAGAAAGCTTCACAGGGATCTCACAGGGTTGCAACCAGGACTGAGAAAGTTTTTAAAAATTGCAAATTGCAAAAGACAGCCGACTTTTCACAAACCCTCAGTAAGAACCCATAGAAGTCACAACCACCTCCCCGAAAATTGCAAAAGACAGCCGAATTTTCACAAACCCTCTGTCAGAACCCATAGAAGTCACAACCACCTCCCCGAAAATTGCAAAAGACAGCAGAATTTTCACAAACCCTCAGTCAAAACCCATAGAAGTCACAACCCCCTCCCTGAAAATTGCAAAAGACAGCCGAATTTTCACAAACCCTCTGTCAGAACCCATAGAAGTCACAACCCCCTCCCCGAAAATTGCAAAAGACAGCCGAATTTTCACAAACCCTCAGTCAGAACCCATAGAAGTCACAACCACCTCCCCGAAAATTGCAAAAGACAGCAGAATTTTCACAAACCCTCAGTCAAAACCCATAGAAGTCACAACCCCCTCCCTGAAAATTGCAAAAGACAGCCGAATTTTCACAAACCCTCTGTCAGAACCCATAGAAGTCACAACCCCCTCCCCGAAAATTGCAAAAGACAGCCGAATTTTCACAAACCCTCTGTCAGAACCCATAGAAGTCACAACCCTCTCCCCGAAAATTGCAAAAGACAGCCGAATTTTCAGAAAGTCTCTGTCAGAACCCATAAAAGTCACAACCCCCTCCCCGAAAATTGCAAAAGACAGCCGAATTTTCACAAAGCCTCTGTCAGAACCCATAAAAGTCACAACCCCCTCCCCGAAAATTGCAAAAGACAGCCGAATTTTCACAAACCCTCAGTCAGAACCCATAAAACTCACAACCCCATCTCCGAAAATTGCAAAAGACAGCCGAATTTTCACAGGGCTGCAGTAAAACCCCAAAAAACTCACAACTCCCCCCTCGAAAATTGCAAAAATCAGCCAAATGTTCACAGATCAAACTCTGAAAACTAACGCACACACACACCCAAATCACAAAACTGGCCAAACATTCACAGGTCTGTGGTCAGGACCAGAAATCTCAAAAAATTAAAAAATGCAGAAAACAGCCAAATTTCCACAGGCCCACAATCAGGACACAAAAACTAACTAACAAATAAATAATTGCAAAACAGCCAAACTTTCACAGGTCTGCTGTTAGGATCCAAAAACTCATTAGCCCCCCTGAAAATAATGAAAGCCGGCAATTTTTCAGAGGCTCCTGACCAGGACCCGAAAACTCAACAAAATTGGAAATTCTTCCAGGTTTCCCACTCCACCATGCCTCATTTCACTCCTCTCCACACCACCTGTCCTGTTCAGCTTTGGCCGCACAGTTCCTACTATGCTTCACAGTTGTCAAAAGGGGCATCAATTCACTAGTGGGAAAAGCTGGCAGAATTCAACTTATCGGCCTCACTGAGAGACTAGTATTATCCTCCTCATTTTGCAAGCCCATGGCCAATTATGAACTCGGGGCAGAGTCAAGATTGGAACTGGGGACACCATGACTGATGGCTCAGCCTATTTGCCAGGGCTGCTACACCAGGGTTATATTCCAGACATGTTTAGGCAAGGAGAGGAGGGGGGAGGAGCACATGAAAAAACTCAGGTTTGTCTGTTGTGCAGTGTAGCCTCTGTAACTCCATTTTATTTTTTGCTAGTGCCTGGGAGGATGGCTGGCAGGCCTCACGCAAGAGAATATGGAGCAGAAGTCCATCAGTGGCTATGAGCCACAAGGTATAGATAGGAACTCTCTGTCTGGGGCAAGGGATGCTCTGTATTCTTGGTGCTGGGGGGGGTGGGCAGCAGTGGGAGGGCTTCTAGTGTCCTGGCCCCACTGGTGGACCTCCTAACGGCACCGGGTATTTTTGGCCACTGTGTGACAGATTGTTGGACTGGATGGGCCATTGGCCTGATCCAACATTGGTTTCTCTTTATGTTCTTATATGGAGCAGAGGTCCATCAGTGGCTATTAGCCACAAGGTATAGATCGGAACTCTTGGTCTGGGGCAAGGGGATGCTCTGTATTCTTGGTGCTGGGGGAGGAAAGTGGGAGGGCTTCTGGAGTTCTGGCCCCACTGCTGGACCTCCTGATGGCCCCTGGTGTTTTTGGCCACTGTGTGACAGAGTGTTCAACTGGATGGGCCATTGGCCTGATCCAACATTGGCTTCTCTTATGTTCTCATGTTCTTAATATTTCTCCGTTTTCATTAGTACTTTCCCAAGTTCTTATCAAAGGAACCTGCCTTGTTTTTCTCAGCTACTAGGTGCCAGGTGCAAGATACAGCCTGGCTCCTCTCAACGTTTAGGGATGTAGCTCTGATGATGGTTTTCTTGACTTGCAGCCAGCAATTAGGATACAAGATGTTTAGTTTTAGCTATGTATCTCGTCTCGAGTTTGGCTAGCTTCGCTGTGCGTATTCGAGGCCCAGCGGATGGAAGTTAGCCTGCTACTTCTGTAAGCTCGATATTTATTAAAATCTCCTAGTAAGCCAACGTGGATCTTGCCTATCGTTTCCTTGGGATTGCTGCGAAACCTCGGAGCTTCTGGCCAGGGCTCCAAACAGGTGTCTGAACTGAACGCAACTCCCCTCATACCTGGTGCTCGTCATTCACGGCCGCGAGATAGTTGAGGGTGCTTTGCATCTCCTCCGGGGAGAAGCTTCTGCACAAGAAGTCCTTGACCAGGCTGAAGAGGGAGGTCTGCACTGTCCTGATGTCGTCCGTGGCCACCGGCTTCTCCTTGTAAGTCCTGGGAGGGAGAAGGGACAGATTGCGCTCAGCCTCCTGGGCTGCCTTACTGCACATTTATACTATTTATATTATTTATTTATTATTTTCGATTTATATCCCACCCTTCCTGTATAGGCAGGCTCAGGGTGGATAAACAATAAAACATGGATGCATAAATGCAATATTATAAAATTCACATAACAGTGTGCAAAGTGCAGTTAAGTGCAGATGGCGATGGCTGTATGGTGGTCCAATGTAGCTGAGCCAGTAGCCTTAGCAGTTCTTAATGCCATTAACGTCAGGGCCGTAGCCAGGGGTCATTTCCTGCAGGAGTGCACAGGAGCAGAGCTCCGGCAGTAAAGAGCCCAGGAGGCGGGCACACGCAACAAGCCCCGCCCCTTCTCCCAGCAGCCCTCAGTCAGAGAAAGAAGCAGCCAGGTCAGTTGCAGAGCCCCCCCCCCGCCCCCTGGTCTAAAACAGTGAGAGGAACTGTGAGAGGTCCCCCGCAGGGCCCTGATGTCTTCCGGGAGCTCATTCCACCAGTATGGAGCCGCTGCCGAGAAGGCCCTGGCCGAGGCCATCTGGTGACTTTTGGACCCGTGGAAAGTACACCAAGATGCAAGTGACTCATGGCGACCCGGAAAGGTTTTCATGGTAAGAGATGGTCTGCTATTACCTGCCTCTAGAGATGTGAAGGCCCGGAAAAAAACTGGAAAAATTAGGAAAAAAACCCATTTTTTCCCGTTTTTTCCCTGAAGCCTTTTTTGTTTTTTCCCGAAAAATTGAAAAAATAAAATGAAAATTAAAAATTGACTATGGAACGTTTTATTTTAACATGATGAATAAAATATTTTAAGACAAGGTGTGCAAATATTTTCCAAATCATTTCTAAAATATATATATATGGTATCAGATTGATCTAATTTCTGTGCACTGAGGACAAGCAAGTCCTAGGTTACAAACTGAACTCTCCAATGCAAGAACAAGATGCATTTCTTCCTTTAGGAGGTGCTATTGTCACAAGGAAAGACAAAGGTTTCAGTTTTGGTATTGCATGTGGGTGGGTATTCTGTTTGTAATAATTGTTTGGATACACTATATTTTTAATATGTTCCTTGTGATAATTTCATGCCAAGTAAAAATGTCCATAGTCATATTTTATGTTCCTAAAGTAACAGACTGACATTCAATCTAGAAAAGACAAAAGAAATGCTAATGTAGCATTTTTTTCAATTTTTCCGAAAATTTCCGTTTCCCCCCGAAAAAAACTAGAAAAAACCCGGGTTTTTTCCCAAGCTTCAAAATTTCCGGAAATTTTACATCTGTACCTGCCTCTGCAGAGCAGCGCCGGGCTTCCCTGGTGGTCTCCCATCCAAGTACCAAACAGGGCCGGCCCTGCTTAGCTGCCACGATCTGACAAGAACAGGCTAATACACTAACTTTTCTTTTCTTTTTTGTCATCTAAACTTATCTGTTGTGCGATTGTAAGCCTGCAGTGTCTGGGCCAACCTGAAAAATCAGCCATGGCTGAACATAGCCTAACTCAAACAGAACACAGTATTTTGTTCCAAGACGCTGAAAGGCTGGACAACACATCTAATTCCCATGTCAGATTACACAGGGAATTCAGAACCAATAAAGGTTAGTCAAGAATAGAAGAGGGCCAACTCTAATTATGAAACCTAAAAAATATACATGTATTTATTAAACTCAAATTAAAATAACGAATAAGGGCCCATTCATATCTCATATACAAAGGCTGATGAAATAGACCTAGGTTTCATAATTAGATTTTAAGAGTTGGCCCTCTTCTATTCTTGACTATCCTTTATAGGTTCTGAATTCTAGGTTTGAGGTTCAGTCTTTCCCCCCCTTTTTTGTCCTTGCAGATTACACAGGGAAGCCATTGAAATCCATAAACATAAACACCATTTCAACAGGAAAGAAGAGAGTTAAAAAATAATTAGGGCATGGCTTCCTCTCCTGAAAAACACAAAATGCTCTACATTTTACAACAGCACTACAGGTAAGATTAGAATTTCAACAGCCCATCCATACGCAAAAGAACCTCCTCAGGAAAGCTCCTCCATTAGCATGTTTCACAGCCTGGGGGACTCCTACAAGAGAATGGCTCAGCCCTACCCCACCTTCCTGAGTAGATATAAATGACCTGCCTACCATTTTTCTTCTCGCCTTGACACACAGAGTCCTCCGTCTTTCTGTGTGATACCTCTGAGGATGCCAGTCACAGCTACTGGCGAAACGTCAGGTCCTACAATGCCCAGACCACGGCCATGCAGCCCAGGAAATCTATGACAGCTCATGAACTCCGTCCGTGAAAGCCTTCGGCAACATATTGACTTGATGGCACTGAACATACACAAACGTGATGCCCTCACCGTGTGCTGACACGCTCTCTTCCCATGGCTACCCTGCCTCTAGAGGAGAGTTTCACTGGGACCCAATGTGAAAATTATGAAGATGACACTTTCCCCCCGGAGTTCACATGCTGTCTTTCAAGATCTGGAGGAGATTCTGGCTTACCCATAATAGGTCCGGATGGAGTCTAGGACGTACTGGACCCCGTACTTCCTCCGGATCCTTTGCTTGTGATCCTTAATTATGTTGGACAGGTACTGGATGTGGCCTGGAAATAATGAAGAAGAAGAAGAGATGGGATTTATACCCCTGGCCCTTCACTCGGAGTCTCAGAGCGGCTTACAGTCTCCTTTCCCTTCCCCTCCCCACAACAGACACCCTGTGAGGGAGGCGGGGCTGAGAGAGCTCTGACAGAAACTGCTCTTTTTTCAAGAACAGCTCTTATCAGAACGATGGCTTGCCCAAGGTCATCCAGCAGGTGCAAGTGGAGGAGTGGGGAATCAAACCCGGTCCTTCCAGATTAAAGTCTACACACTTAACCACTACACCAAACTGGCTCTCAAGGAGAAGGAGGAGGAGGAGATTGGATTTATACCCCGCCCTTCACTACTCAAGGAAGTCTCAGAGCGGCTTACAAACTCCTTTCCCTTCCCCTTCTCACAACAGACACCCTGTGAGGTAGGTGGGGCTGAGAGAGCTCTTTCCAGAACTGTCCTTGAGAGGACTGCTCTTGTCAGAACTACGGCTTGCCCAAGGTCATCCAGCAGCTGCAAGTGGAGGAGTGGGGAATCAAACCGGGTCCTTCTAGATTAGAGTCCACGCACTTAACCACTGCACCAAACTGGCTCTCAAGGAGGAGGAGAAGAAGAGGAGAAGGAGAAGGAGGAGATTGGATTTATACCCCATGCCCTTCACTACCCAAAGGAGTCTTAGAGTGGCTTACAAACTCCTTTCCCTTCCCCTCCCCACAACAGACACCCTGTGAGGTAGGCGGGGCTGAGAGAGCTCTTTCGAGGACTGCTCTTTGAAGGACAGCTCTTGTCAGAACTATGGCTTGCCCAAGGTCATCCAGCAGCTGCGAGTGGAGGAGCGGGGGAATCAACCCCGGTTCTCCCGGATTAGAGTCCGCACAAGTGTTCCCTCTAAGATGGGTTAATGTGAGCCAGCTCACAGTTTTTCAGCCTCTGGCTCACACATTTTTTGTCTCATCTCAGGAAGGATGGCACAAGAGCAGACTAATTTACGCAGCAGCCAAATCGCTTGCTCACAACTTTAATGCCAGCAGCTCACAACGTAGAATTTTTACTCACAAGACTCCACAGCTTAGAGGGAACATGCACACTTACAGCAAACTGGCTGATGAGGGCCTCCCCTAGGAGGAAAGGTTAAAGAGTCTGGGACTTTCCAGTTTAGAAAAAAGACAACGAAGGGGGGGGGGAATGATAGAGGTTTATCAGATTGTGCATCGGGTGGAGATGGTTGACCAGAGAGAGCTTTCCCTCCCTCTCCCAAAAGACTAGAACTCGAGGGCTACAGAACAATGTGGCTGCCCTGTGAAACATAAGAACATAAGAGAAGCCAATGTTGGATCAGGCCAAAGACCCCTCCAGTCCAACACTCTGTGTCACACAGTGGCCAGAAATACCAGGTGCCATCAGGAGGTCCAACAGTGGGGCCAGGACACCAGAAGCCCCTCCCACTGTTGCCCCCCCCAGGCACCAAGAACACAGAGTATCCCTTGCCCCATACATAAGAACACAATCCTGAGTCTTTGCATCCTGAGTCTTTCCTTCGCAACACCCCTCCCACCTTCTGACTGGGATATAAGGACTCCGGGATCTCCATTCCCACTTGTATCCGACAAAGTGAACTCTTTGACTCTCCAAAGCTCACGCTCTGGAGAGACGGTTGGTCTCTCAGGTGCTCCTGGATTCTAATCCGGCTCTTCTATTGCAGACCAACATGGCTGTGTCCACCCGAACCTGACCCCCTCAAAGGATTCTCCCCTGGTCCACACAACACGAGAGCCATGCGGAGGCGACTTTAATCCCTGCCACGGGGCATGCTGTTCACCGCACAGGTAAAGCTGCCCCACGGGGGTAATCCCCAAACCTTTGGGGCGGTGTCCTCCGTACCCTCGAACGAGGGCGACACCCAGGGCCGCCGGAAAGAAAGTAGCTCCTCCCCACCGGGTCGCAAGGCGAGGCGCCCCACGCTCACCCAACCGGACGGCAAAGTCGCTGTTGCTCCAGATGTGGAAGTCGAAGAGCAGGTACTGGTAGAGGAGGTGCAGCAAGAGGTGGTGTCCTTCGGAAGCCACCTGCTCCAGGAGGACTTGAGAGGCCATCAGCACGTTCATGTCCATCATCTGGCTGGGGACCTGGGAGGGAAGAAAGGGTTCGAACGGATAAGAGGAAGTCCTTCTTCACCCAAAGAGTGATTAACCCTTGGAATTCACTGCCACAGGAGGTGGTGGCGGCTACAAGCATGGATGGCTTCAAAAGGGAATTGGATAAGCATATGGAGCAGAGGTCCATCAGTGGCTCTTAGCCACAAGGTATAGATAGGGGCTCTGGGGCAAGTGATGCTCTGTCTTCTTGGTGCTTGGGGGGGGGGCAACAGTGGGAGGGCGTCTAGTGTCCTGGACCCACTGGTGGACCTCCTGATGGCACTGGTATGTCTGGCCACTGTGTGACACAGAGTGTTGGACTGGATGGGCCTTTGGCCTGATCCAACATTGGCGTCTCTTATGTTCTTATGTGGGGCAGTCGCATGAGTGGAACGTGGCCCAACTGAATTAGCTGAGAAGCTGACATGGGTGGGGCCCATCGACCTTAGCCCCACAGGCCCGTAGCTACGGCGGGGCTTTTGGAGTCTCTGCCCCCTTTCTTATAGGCACAGCCCCACAAGAATTTCTCCTGTAAAAGCTTTTTTTTCAATAATCTTAAAACACTTTTTAAAAGGCGTGTGCTCCTTTAAGCAGAGTGGGGTGCTGTAGCTGACTCATTCCCGCACTGAGCAAGGGGGTTGGAGTAGGTGACCTCTAGGATCCCCTTGAACTCTGTGTCAAGAAACTGGTCTTCTTTAAGAAGAGAAGACGAAGAGGAGGAGGAAGAAGAAGAGACTGGATTTATACCCCCGCCCTTCACTAGCCAAAGGTGTCTCAGAGTGGCTTACAAACTCCTTTCCCTTCCCCTCCCCACAACAGACACCCTGGGACGCAGTGTTCCCTCTAAGCTGAGTGGGTGTGAGAGCTAGCTCACAGTTTTTTAGCCTTCTGGCTCACACATTTTTGTCTTCGCTCAGGAAGGAGGGCTCCAGAGCAAACTAATCTATGCAGGAGCCAAACCGCTTGCTCACAATTTTAATGCCCGGAGCTCACAAAGGAGAATTTTTGCTCACAAGACTCCACAGCTTGGAGGGAACATTGTCTGTGACGTAGGTGGGGCTGAGAGAGCTCTTGACAGAAACTGCTCTTTTTCAAGAGCAGCTCTTATCAGAACTATGGCTTGCCCAAGGTCATCCAGCCAGGTGCAAGTGGAGGAAGGGGGAATCAAACCCGGCTCTCCCAGATAAGAGTCCACGCACTTAACCACGACACCAAACTGGCTTTAAGAGAGTTTTTCTGCCTCAGTTTTCTTGACTCTAGAAGTCATCACCCCCACCTGCTGGCTTGTTATCAGAATTGTTGCTTAGGCTGGCAGAAGTGATTAACTTGCAGCAGCTGCGGACTGTCATCTAAAGTGGTTGACCGCTTGCAATTTAGAGATTTATCCTGGTCACAGCACCCTCAGCAGTACTTTATGGTAGATATACCCGGACTCCCATGCACCAAAGAATTTGCTCCTGTTTGTTAGAAGAGGTGGAATCAGCCTCCCATATATTACTCCATTGTCCTATGTACGACGAAGAGAGACAGCAGTTGTTGATACCCCTTCTCTCATGTTTTAAACCCTTGGCTAATTATTTTACATATGCCGAGAAATATTTGATGAAGTTCTTATTGGCCGATACTTAAGATTCTGTCTCACGCAATGTTGCTAAATATTGTTATCTGGTAATTAAAAAGCGTAGAATGAACTGTAACCCGAGCCATTAATGACGGAATTGACCGGTTTCGTATCTTAGTATTTAAGGCTGCAAGGATTCTATGTCATAGACTCGGTGTTGTACTATTTTGGTTTATTTTGCTGGTCTTACGACTGTTCTTAATAAATTTGTTTGTTTGTTTGTTTGCCTTCAAAATCCTGGTCACAGCTTTCCATTGGCCACATGGCTTTTCCTTCTGCACTGAGAACTTCAGCCCCACCAGAAGAAAATGTGCTCCACAAGCCACGAAACACTGGCTACGGGCCTGGCCCCACTCCCTTTGGAGATGGCTGCCTCTGCAGCGTCTCCCTTCCTGCCACCAGGGCACAGTGCCTTTCCTTTCCTATCCAAGATGGCGCCAGTCTCCAGGGCAATAAGATGTCCCACAGAAGTGGTCACAGGAGCTCTGGGACTAGAAAACATCAACTATTGGCCCTTCTGGTCAACGTAGGACAACAGTGTAAACACCGGGTGACTGGACTTTGCGCCACCTCTGTGAAGGACCCATTTTAGTGATCGTGAGCAAACCACTCCCAGTTTCCCACTTCTAAAATGTGGACCTGCCTTAAAAAGGTACAAAGTGTGGCCCAGAGGACAAGACCCGCCCCACAGGAAAACGAAACAGCACCTTAAAGGAGCCGAGTCTTCAGCATTTTAAATATTTTGCCAATAGCTCAAATTCTATACGATTTATGCATCTATTTATCTGCTCCATTTATATCCAACGCTTCCGAGTGGGGGCTCAAAGTGGCCGACATTCTTCTCCTCTCCACCATTTTATCTCCACGGCAATGCTGTGAGGAGGTCAGGCTATGAGTCTGTCACGGGCCCAACGCCACCCAGTGAGTTTCCATGACAGAGGAGGAGGAGGAGAAGATGAAGAAGAGAAGAGATTGCATTTACACCCTGCCCTTCACTACCCAAAAGAGTCTCAGAGCAGCTTACAAACTCCTTTCCCTTCCCCTCCCCACAACAGACACCCTGGGAGGAAGAAGAAGAAGAGATTGGATTTATACCCCATGGCCATTCACTACCCAGAGGAGTCTAAGAGCGGCTTACAAACTCCTTTGCCCTTCCCCTCCCCACAACAGACACCCTGGGAGGAAGAAGAAGAAGAGATTGGATTTATACCCAGCCCTTCACTACCCAAAAGAGTCTCAGAGCAGCTTACAAACTCCTTTCCCTTCCCCTCCCCACAACAGACACCCTGGGAGGTAGGTGGGGCTGAGAGAGCTCTTGACAGAAACGGCTCTTTTTTAAGGACAGCTCTGAGAAAACTGTGGCTTGCCCAAGGTCATCCAGCAGGTGCAAGTGGAGGAGTGGGGAATCAAACCCACTTCTCCCAGATTAGAGTCCGCGCACATAACCACTACACCAAACTGGGGATTCGAACTCGCGTTTCCCGGGTACTAGTCCAATGCCGTAGCTACTAAGCCACATGTAATTGCCCACTGATAAATTATGCCCATCTTTCAAATGCCAATGGTTATTATCAGTTCTGTGTTTATGGCTGAATTACTGTTTTATTTATAGCTAGATTCCTGTCCAAGTAGGACCTTAGAGATGAACAAGATTTTTTTGGGGGGGGGGGTATAAGTTTTCGAGAGTCAAAACTCCCTTTGTATTTGACTAAGGGTGCTTTGACTCTTGAAAGTTTATACCCCCAAAATCTTGGCTTTGGACTTGGCTCTGTGTTCCTGGCTCCTGACCCCGGCTTGGCTTTGGACTACGCTTCCGGTTAGTGATTTTGGACTTGGCTCTGTGTTCCTGGCTCCTGACCCCGGCCTGGCTTTTTTAGACTTTGCACTGTCTTCTTGGCTTCTGACCTTGGCCTATTCTGGACTCCCTTTGACTGGCACCCCAGCCCGTGACACTGTTCTACTGCAGGCCAATAGGGATACTGGCTTTTATTGATGTCTTTTGTATATTGTGATGCTATTATGGTTATTACTGAGCTAAAAAAAAGAGGCTTACAAAATGTATTCCAGTGCCCGCTTTTGTGAGTTTGAGCTCACTTCATCAGCTGCCTTAAAGTGTACATCCATAACAGGTATTTATACTCCAAGTTACATGCAACAGAGAGGTGGGTGCCAGATACTTTTTGGGAGGTGCAAAGAGACATTCAAAATGTGGAGACGGGCTGTGTCTCAGTGGTAGAACATTTGCTTGGCATGCAGGCGGCCCCAGGTTCAATCCCCGGCATCTCCAGTTAAAAGGACCAGGCAGTAGGTGATGGGAAAGACCTCTGCCTGAGACCCTGGAGAGCTGTAAAGAGGGGCTGTGACTCAGTGGCAGAGCCTCTGCTTGGCATGCAGAAGGTCCCAGGTTCAATCCCTGGCATCTCGAGTTCAAAGAACCAGGCAGGAGGTGATGGGAAAGACCTCTGCCTGAGACCCTGGAGAGCTGTAAAGAGGGGCTGTGACTCAGTGGCAGAGCCTCTGCTTGGCATGCAGAAGGTCCCAGGTTCAATCCCTGGCATCTCGAGTTCAAAGAACCAGGCAGGAGGTGATGGGAAAGACCTCTGCCTGAGACCCTGGAGAGCTGTAAAGAGGGGCTGTGACTCAGTGGCAGAGCCTCTGCTTGGCATGCAGAAGGTCCCAGGTTCAATCCCTGGCATCTCGAGTTCAAAGAACCAGGCAGGAGGTGATGGGAAAGACCTCTCTCTAGCCGAGACCTTGGGGAGCCACTGCCATTCTGAGCACCCAGTATTGATCTCCAGTATTGATCTGATTCTGTATAAGGCAGCTTCATGTGTGTGGAATGTGCACCTTTCCTTTGGAAGACTTGATTGAAACACTCAATAAACCAGCCATGGAACACTGCTCCAGTCATGAAGCTCTCCTTGCGACCACCAGCTGGAGGACAGACCCTGCACCCATCCACCCAATGCAGCTGGAATTCTCCCGTCATCTAACCCTCCCACAAGGGGGATCTGGCCTGGCCCGGAACCGAAACACTTACGTTCTGGAGCAGAGCTCCAATGATCGCCGGCCCGTGGCACTGGACCAGGCTCTCTTGATTGACCGCGTGCCCTCGGATAAAGTTTTTCACCAGGAGGAGGAAGGCAGCCACCCGGTTCTTCTCCAGCCGGCTTTCTGCGAATGCAAGACGCACACCTCGGTCAGCCCCATAGAGGGGGAAAGGGAGTTTTTCTCATTGAAAATAGAGCACCTGGGATTACAAAAGACATTTTTGGGGAGGGGCTGTGGTTCAGTCAGTGGAAGAGCCTCTGCTTGGCATGCAGGAGGTCCCAGGTTCAATCCCTGGCATGTCCAGTTAAAGGTCCAGGCAGGAGTTGATGGGAAAGACCTCAGCCTGAGACTCCGGAGAGCCGCTGCCAGTCTGAGTAGACAATACTGACTTTGATGGACCCAGGGCCTGATTTAGTATAACCAAAGATGACACTGGGTACCAGAGGCCACACAAAAGAAAAGGCTGATATACTAATTTGTGTGCAAACCAAATATGAATTCTATCTGTCTGTCTATCTAATCTGTTTATATCTGTCTATTTAATCTGTTTGTCTGTCTATCTAATCTGTCTGCCTGTCTGTCTGTCTGTCCTCTCTCTCTCTCTCATCTATCTATCACTGCTCATACAGCTATAGCCTTAAGCAGAAAATAAAATAGTAACAAAAAATAAATTAATGCCTTACTAGATATTCTTCTGCTGCTGTTTGATTATTGCCGCTACAAATTTTGCCACAGAAAGAGTAACAGAATCATTTGTATCTGACAATAACCAAGTCACCTGTGCCCTCATACTATCAGGTTGTCAGACCTTTCCATCGTTTGGAACAAAGAGTAATTAAACAGGCCCTCAGCTCACTGAACATAGGACACTCCCATAATCAGGGGTCATTTCCTGCAGGAGCGCACAGGAGCGGAGCTCCGGCAATAAAGAGCCCCGGGGGCGGGCACATGCAACAAGCCCCACCCCCTGCTCCCAGCAGCCCTCAGTCAGAGCAAGAAGCAGCCAGGTAAGCTGCAGAACTCCCCCTGGCCCCCCAGTCCAAAACAGTCCAGTGGCACCTTTCAGACCAAGTTTTATTCAGGTACAAGCTCTCCCTCCTCTGCGAGGACAGATCTGCACGTTCCCTCCACCCCAATAGCTAGCAATCCAAAACAGTCCAGTGCTGCCTTCTGACACACTTCTGGTGATGTCAGGGGGTGTGGCATATGCAAACACGTTATGCTAATGAGTTCTGCTAATGTGCTCCTGCACCTTTTTTTCTACGAAATGACCCCTGCCCATAATCATATGCTCAACAGTTTCAACGTTATCAAGTGAGACCAAATATTAATTTACACAGCGCTCTTTCTCCTGGTTCAGTATAAAGCAGCTTCATGCGTGAACCCAGTAACAAAATTTTGGGACACCCCAAAGGACTCTCTGGAGTCAATCCCACATTAGAGATTTTTCCTTCCCTGACTGTAAAAAAGAAACAACCAGCGGGGTCTTAGTGCGGAAGTCCAGAATGCAACGCCCCACCCAATCCCTGCATAGCAACGGCAAGAGAGGCACGGGTCACCTGAGGATTTCCCCAGCGGGATGAGCAGGCCCTGGGCGTTCCGGGAAGAAGTCAGCTCCGGGCCGACCAAGTCGTGGGTCTCCTGATTGTCTTCCGAATCCTTTTTCTGCGACGCCACTTGATCCAGCAGGGGGAGGAGCACCCCCATTCCACCAACGCAGTTGACCACGTCCTGCGGGGGAAACACAAACGCTGCCTCAAAAGACTGTTCGGAGCAGAGAGGCGACACGCAAAGAGAACCTGTGAATGAGACTTAGAATCATGGAATCATAGAATGTTAAGAGTTGGAAGGGACCATGCGGGTCATCTAGTCCAACCTCCTGCACTCTGCAGGAGCAGAGCCGAAAGAGAGCCCTACGACATACCCGAGAGATGGTCGTCCAGCCTCTGCTTGAAAATGTCCAGTGAAGGAGACTCCACCACCTCCTGAGGCAGACTGTTCCACTGCTCAACCACTCTTACGGTTAGGAAGTTTCTCCTGATATTTAGCCGGTAACGACTCCCTTGTAATTTCCACCCATTCGATCTAGTCTTGCAATCCGGAGCAAGAGAGAATAGATCCGCTCCATCTTCTACATGACAGCCCTTCAGATACTTGAAGACTGCAATCGTGTCCCCTCTAAGCCTTCTTTTTCCCAGGCTAAACAGACCCAACTCCTTCAGCCTTTCCTCGTAAGACTTGGATTCCAACCCTCTCACCGTCCTGGTTGCCCTCTTCTGGACACGCTCGAGCTTGTCAACATCCTTCCTCAAATGTGGTGCCCAAAACTGGACACAGGACTCCAGGTGGGGCCTGACCGTAGCAGAATAGAGCGGAACTACCACCTCCCGTGATCTGGACACGTTGAGAAATTCCTGGAGATTTGGGGGTGGAGCCCTGGGAGAACAGGGACCTCAGGAGGGTGGTGGCAGCTACAAGCATGGACGGCTTCAAGTGGGAATTAGATAGACATATGGAGCAGAGATCCATCAGTGGCTATTAGCCACAAGGTATACACAGGAACTCTCCGTCTGGGGCAAGGGATGCTCTGTATTCTTGGTGCTGGGGGGGGCAACAGTGGGAGGGCTTCTAATGTCCTGGCCCCACATGTGAACCTCCTGGTGGCACTGGTATTTCTGGCCACTGTGTGACACAGAGTGTTGGACTGGAGGGGCCTTTGGCGTGATCCAACACTGGCATCTCTTATGTTCTTATGTTCTTATGGATGGACGTCCCCGACAGGCGTTTATCCAATCCCCTCTTGAAGCCGTTCCCGCTTGTAGCCGCCACCCCTTCCTGTGGCAGTGAACCCCACCTGTCAGTTGCTCTTTGGGTGAAGAAGGACCCCCCTTTGATCTGTTCTAAGCCTGCTGCCACGCCTCCGGCCCCAGCTGAACTGCCAGCACTTCAGAGGCAGGGAACGGCGTAGAGTGCCGGAGACGGCCACTTTCTGGAGAAGCCTCACCCTACCTTGACGTCCCAGTTCACCACTTTGTGACCCGTCAGCCTCCCGTCGAAGAAGTGGTTCGGGGAGAGATCCAGGCAGATGTTGCCTTTGCAAGCCTAGAAAACCCACACGGGAGAGACAGACACGGTTAATAAAGGATGACATCCAGAACATGTCCGGACCTAGGATACTTGGAGAGCTGAAGTCCCCCGTTCTCTAAGACCTTCCTTTGCAGCTTTGCCGCAAGTTCCCCCGGCTGCTGGAGGTTCTGTGAGACAAGAAGAAGAAGAAGAAGAAGAAGAGGAGGAGGAGGAGGAAGAAGAAGAAGAGGTGGAAGAAGAGGTGGAAGAGGAGATTGGATTTATACCCTGCCCTTCACTACCCAAAGGAGTCTCGGAGCGGCTTACAAACTCCTTTCCCTTCCCCTCCCCACAACGGACACCCTGTGAGGTAGGCAGGGCTGAGAGAGCTCTTTCGAGGACTGCCCTTGAGAGAACAGCTCTGAGAGAACTTGTGACTGACCCAAGGTCACACCAGCAGCTGTGCGTGAAGGAGTGGGGGAATCAAACCTGGTTCTCCCAGATTAGAGTCTGTGCTCCTAACCACTGCACCAAACAAGTACTGGCACCAAAATTATGCAACCCACCCCCAGCAGATCTCCCTGCTCCTCGCTTGCTGGCTTTTAGACAGCACCCAAAGAGCTGCGGTGGCTCAAGTGGTTAAGGCGCTGAACTGCAGGCTGTGGAAGGTCGGTAGTTCAGCAGTTCAAGACCCGAGCGTGCCGCATGACGGAGTGAGCTCCCATCTCTAGTTCCAGCTCCTGCCAACCAAGCAGTTCGAAAGCAAGACATTGCAAGTAGACAAACAGGGACCACTTCGGTGGGAAGGTCACAGCGTTCCGTGCGCCTTGGTGCTTAGTCATGCCTGCCCCATGACCACGGAAACATCTTCGGACAGCGCTGGCTCTTCGGCTTGGAAACGGAGATGAGCACCACAACCCTAGAGTCGGATTCGACTGGCTTTCGAGCCAGGGAACCTTTACCTTTACCTTTTACAAAGACAGTTTTGTTCCAGCGAGGATTTGATGTGAGATTGAATTTGGGTTCCTCTTTGATTTGGCTGTTATTTAATCTGCCTCTGCTCTGTTTGATGTTATTGCTATTTTAGACTGATATCAATTCACGTCATTGTAGATTTCCTTTGACAACTGGGGACCTCAGAGAATGCACTGCCTGAAATCGACAAGATTCTGACCGGACAGGCCATTTATTTGCGTATTTCTTATTCATTTCTCAGACTGATATCCCACTCCCCCCCCCCCGAATGGGACTCAGGGGAGGGGGGGGGAGGCCAACAGCAGATAAAGCACACCCGAGAAAAACAACTCAAAAGATGCAACAAATAAACTTGAAAAAATATAAAAGGATTAAAAATCTATCCCCATCAAAATCTATCCACTATCGAGCAGGGGAGGACGCGTGGATGGGGAAGACTCCTTTGAAGCAGACCAGCTGCCTGGCGGATCACAATCACCCAAAGGCTGCCCCAAATAGAGCAGCCTTACGTGCCCTGCAGAACTGAGGGAGGTCCTGCAAGGCACGCATCTGTTTGGGCAGCTGGTTCCACAGGATGGGGGCCACCACTGAGAAGGCCTTTACCCTTGTTGACCCAAGGTGGACAGTTCTTGGACCAGGGACCGCCAATAAACGCTGAGATGAAGATCAGAGAAGACAGGGAGGATCATGCCGGGAGAGGCGGTCCTGAAGATATGAGGGTCCCAGGCCATTTCGGGCTTTAAAGGTAAATGCCAACCAGTGTTCCCTCTAACCTGAGTTAGTGTGAGCTAGCTCACAGTTTTTTAGCCTCCGGCTCATACATTTCTGTCTCTGCTCAGGAAGGATGGCTCCAGAGCAGTGTTCCCTCTAAGCTGAGTTAGTGTGAGCTAGCTCACAGTTTTTTAGCCTCCGGCTCGCACATTTCTGTCTCCGCTCAGGAAGGAGGGCTCCAGAGCAGTGTTCCCTCTAAGCTGAGTTAGTGTGAGCTAGCTCACAGTTTTTTAGCCTCCGGCTCGCACCTTTCTGTCTCCGCTCAGGAAGGATGGCTCCAGAGCAGTGTTCCCTCTAAGCTCAGTTAGTGTGAGCTAGCTCACAGTTTTTTTAGCCTCCGGCTCGCACCTTTCTGTCTCCGCTCAGGAAGGATGGCTCCAGAGCAGTGTTCCCTCTAAGCTGAGTTAGTGTGAGCTAGCTCACAATTATTTAGCCTCCGGCTCGCACCTTTCTGTCTCCGCTCAGGAAGGATGGCTCCAGAGCAGTGTTCCCTCTAAGCTGAGTTAGTGTGAGCTAGCTCACAGTTTTTTAGCCTCCGGCTCGCACCTTTCTGTCTCCGCTCAGGAAGGATGGCTCCAGAGCAGTGTTCCCTCTAAGCTGAGTTAGTGTGAGCTAGCTCACAGTTTTTTAGCCTCCGGCTCGCACCTTTCTGTCTCCGCTCAGGAAGGATGGCTCCAGAGCAGTGTTCCCTCTAAGCTGAGTTAGTGTGAGCTAGCTCACAGTTTTTTAGCCTCCGGCTCATACATTTCTGTCTCTGCTCAGGAAGGATGGCTCCAGAGCAGTGTTCCCTCTAAGCTGAGTTAGTGTGAGCTAGCTCACAATTATTTAGCCTCCGGCTCGCACCTTTCTGTCTCCGCTCAGGAAGGATGGCTCCAGAGCAGTGTTCCCTCTAAGCTGAGTTAGTGTGAGCTAGCTCACAGTTTTTTAGCCTCCGGCTCGCACCTTTTTGTCTTCGCTCAGGAAGGATGGCTCCAGAGCAGTGTTCCCTCTAAGCTGAGTTAGTGTGAGCTAGCTCACAATTTTTTAGCCTCCGGCTCGCACCTTTCTGTCTCCGCTCAGGAAGGATGGCTCCAGAGCAGTGTTCCCTCTAAGCTGAGTTAGTGTGAGCTAGCTCACAGTTTTTTAGCCTCCGGCTCACACATTTCTGTCTCTGCTCAGGAAGGAGGGCTCCGGAGCAAACTAATTGATGCAGCAGCCAAGTCGCCGGCTGAAAACTTTAATGCCAGGAGCTCACAAAGTAGAGTTTTTGCTCACAAGATTCCGCAGCGTTGGCGCCAGTGCAGCTGCCGCAGGGTAGGTGTTATACGCACTGACCAAACACAGCCTCTCCAGAAAATAGACAGCTGAAGGCGATCCGGTCATACCTGTGGTGTGTAATACAGGAGGAGTTTGCTGCTGAACTCCAGGAAATCCCCTTCCGGCTTAAACGGAGATGTAACATTTGGTCCTGCAAGGGGTGGGGGAGGGGGGGGAAAGGGAAGGAAACAAGGCTGTTTTCACGCACGCACTGCAAGAAGCAAGAGTTGGTCTCATGTATAAAGACCTAGATTTGCTCTGAATGCGAGGATGTTCACTTCGCACTATTTATTTCATTTCTTAACTTCATTCATGCCATTGTTCACACAGTGAATGAAGGCAGCATATTTAAAACTATTCAATTCAGTCAGGCAGCATAAAACAGGGGTCCCCAGCTAGGGTTGCCAAGTCCATCTTCCACCCCCAGCGGGGGACTTTGGGGGCATTCCGGGAGGGGGCGGGGCATCCCCAACGTGAAAACGTCATGTTGGGGACGTCCACCGGCCTCCCCACCCACCCGTGCATCAGATCTCCAGAAACGGCAGTTCCCTTTTAAATGCAGGAGCTGGCGTTTCCCCTTTAAGAGCAGCCGCATTTCCCTTTTAAGAGCACGAAGCTGGCATTTCCTTGCAAGCAGGAGCCGGCGTTTCTCCTTTAAGAGCAGCTGCGTTTCTCTTTTAAGAGCACGAAGCTTGGCATTTCCTTGGGAGGAAACACGGGTTCCACACACTTAAAGGGAGAGAGAGGGGTGGGGGTGGCTGTTGGGGCTTCCCCCGCCAGCCATCTGGCCGGCGGCGGGTAGAACCCCCCCAAAAAACGGGGGACCCCTGGCAAACCGGGGGGGTTGGCAACCCTATCCCCAACACTGGGACCTGCTGAAAACCTTTCTGGCGCCTGCGGACTGTTTTTAGAATGTGGGCGGGGCTGGATGGGGCTGACTGGCCCTTGGAGATTGCTGACTGGCCCCTGGAGATTGGATTGGCTGTGCAGATTTTTTAAAATGCTGCCTTGGCAGCAACAGCCATCCCAGTTGCTATGTGACTGAAGATCGGCAGCAGAAGCCATTTTGTGGTCGGCCCTGCCTCCTGCAGCAGCCATTTTGCGGCTGAGCCCTCCACACCGTGTCAGGATCCCAAAGGTGCCTGCAGGCTCAAAAAGGTTGGGACAGGGACATTCAACCAACGATGCTACCCATCTGCGATTACAGCATCAGAAAACAGTGCGGGCAAAACACTAGAAGAGATTGATGAAGAGACTGGATTTATACCCCCTGCCCTTCACTCCCCTCCCCCTCCCCACAACAGACACCCTGTGAGGTAGGCGGGGCTGAGAGAGCTCTCTTTTGAGGACTGCCCTGGAGAGAACAGCTCTGAGAGAACTCGTGACTGACCCAAGGTCACCCAGCAGCTGCATGTGGAGGAGTGGGGAATCAAACCTGGAGTCTGCACACTTAACCGCTACACCAAGCTGGCTCTCCATGGCAACTAAACATGTGTGGGGGGAGTGGAAGAGAAGCCTGATTTTGGTGGCCCCCAGACCAAGGCAATCTAGATATGTCCAGGATCCACCCTTCAGTGATGGCAAAACAGCACATACCCATACACATGCTGAAAGTAAAATCCAGCAGGTACAGGCACACCTGTGGCCATCCCTACATCCTCTGGTGGCAAATTTCACATTTCAGTCACTCTCTGTGTAAAGTTGTATTTCCTTTTGTCCGCCCGGAACCTACTGCCCATCAGCTTCATTGGACACCCTCGAGGTCTAGTATTTTGGGAGAGGGAGAAAAGGTTCTCTCTGGTCAACTCTCTCCACCCGATGCATGATTTTATAAACCTCTATCATGTCCCCCCCCTTAGACGTCTCTTTTCTAAATTGAAAAGTCCCAGACTCTCCATCCTCTCCTCATAGGGGAGGTGCTCCAACCCCTGAATCGTCTTGGTCGCCCTCCTCGGTACCTTTCCCACCTCTGCAATGTCCTTTTTGAGATGTGGCGACCAGAACTGTACACTGTACTCCAATTGAGGCCACACCATAGATCTATACAGAGCAGGGCTATTTTTGGGCAGGAACGCACAGGAACGGAGTTCTGGCTGGCTCCCGAGTTGGCCACGCCCAGCAGGAACTCATTAGCATAATAGGCCACACCCAACAGCAGGGACTCATTCAGATTGGCTACAATTAGGGGTGTGTGGCCTAACATGCAAAAAGCCCTGGGTTTTGACAACAAACAAGGTAAACAGAATAAGAAGGGAAAGGTGGGTGTGGCTGGATGATCACACTTCTTGTAACATGGGGGTGCGGCCTAGCTGTGCTGTCAGGGTGTGGCCTAATATGCTAATGAGTTCCTGCTGTTGGGTATGGCCTATTATGCTAATGAGTTCCTGCTAGGCTTTTTCTACAAAAAAGGCTCTGATACAGAGGCATTGCAATGTTGACTGTTATATTTCCAATCCCTTTCCAAATAATCCCCAGCACAGAGTTTGCCTTTTTTCATCGCTGCAGCCCACAGGGTTGACACTTTCCCGGAGCCCCCCTGCCACGACCCCCTTGCGAGCACTCTCTGCTCTGTTTCCGTTCCTCTCGGACACCTACCTGAGGAGTAGAGCGCCTTCACTTGAGCGGGCTGGAGCGCTTCGTAGAAGACCGAGACGGGCCCGAGGTGACCCTCCAGGGACGTGGGCATCCCCCACTCGGTGTCCTGGCTCCCGGCGAGTGTCGTGGAAACCACACCTTCCCGGGGGACCTGAGGCGGAATGGGGATCCAGGCGTGCGGCGCCAGAGAGGCTGGGAAGGACTGGGAGCGGCTCAGGGGAGGGTGAGCCGGGAAGGCCAGGTCTGGTGAGTGGCACGGGGAGGGGAGGTTGGTGGTGGTCGTGGTGGTCGTCCGGTGGCCGGCAGAGCCGATGCAACAGGAGGTGAAGGACTGGGAGAGAAGGAGAGAGAGAGAGAGATTGGATTTATACCCCGCTCTTCACTTGGAGTCTCAGAGCAGCTTACAAACTCCTTTCCCTTCCCCTTCCCACAACAGACACCCTGTGAGGTGGGTGGGGCGGAGAGAGCTCTGACACAAACTGCTCTTTTTCAAGGACAGCTGTGCCAGAGCTTGTGACTGACCCAAGGTCACATCAGCAGGTGCAAGTGGAGGAGTGGGGAATCAAACCCGGTTCTCCCAGATTAGAGCCCGCGCACTTAACCACGACACCAAACTGGCAAAGCATGTCGGGCAAGGATTAAAACGGGAGAATCCCCTTACGTGCCCCAGCCTCACGGAGATGGCTCCTTTGACCCCCATTGGTTTGCCGGTCATCAGAGTCGCCACTGAGAACCGGATTGTGACATCTGCTTACGGCACCGTGAGCTAGAGATGTGAAAGCCCGGGAAAAAAACCAGAACAATTTGGAAAAAAAACCCCGTTTTTTTCCCTAAAGCCTTTTTTGTTTTTTTCCGAAAAATTAGAAAAATGGAAAAAGGGAAAGAAAAGGGAAAAAATTGATTATGGAACGTTTCATTTTAACATGATGAATAAAATATTTTAGGACAAGGTGTTCAAATATTTCCCAAATCATTTCTAAAAAATACGCATGGTATCAGATTGATCTAATTTCTGTGCACTGAGGACAAGCGAGTCCTAGGTTACAAACTGAACTCTCCGATGCAAGAACAAGATGCATTTCTTCCTTTAGGAGGTGCTATTGTCACGAGAAAAGAAAAAGGTTTCAGTTTGTTTTTTGCATGTGGGTGGGTATTCTGTTTGTAATAATGGTTTGGATACACTATATTTTTAATATGTTTGTTGTGATGATTTCATGCCAAGTAAATATGTCCATAGTCATATTTTATGTTCCTAAAGTAACAGAATGACTTTCAATCTGGAAAAGAAAAAGAAGTGCTAATGTAGCATTTTTTCCAATTTTTCCGAAAATTTCCGTTTTTTTTCAGGGGGAAATCGGAAAAAAAACAGATTTATTGTCCCGAGCTTCAAAATTTCCGGAAATTTTACATCTCTACCGTGAGCTCACGTGAAAGATGACAGAATTAGGCGGATTTTTTGCACCGAGAAGAGCCCCAAATTTTGAAATGTTCCTAATAGCCAGTGGTGGACCTCTGCTCCAGATGTTCATCCAGTCCCCTCTTGAAGCTGTCCATGCTTGGAGGTGACACCACTACCTGAGACAGACTCCCTCTAATTCCCCCTAAGTCTCTCACTAACTCGTGACTATTGGGATACGTTTTACTAGATCAACATGTGCATGCAGTGAAGAAAAAATACCAACTACTGAAGATACTGTTTCCAGGGTCAGATCTTGGTTTCCAAATTGCAAAAGCCAGCAGCGGAAAGGGCGGGGCAGCCACGAGGGAGGGCTGGCCTGCAACCCACTTTCAGGGGCTTCGTGACCCACTTTTTGGGTCCTGAGTCTGACCCACAGGATGGGAAACAGTGTTACAGCGTCGGTTTGCATGATGGCTTGTACTGCCATTCGGTTTTTGCACTCCTAGTCCAACTGCATTGTTCATTGAACGTCCTATACTGAATTATTACATATCCCCCATCTTTCTGTGCTTTGTAATTTGCCTTGAGTCTCAGTGAGAAAGGTGGGCTACAAAAAGAAGAAGAGGAGGAGGAGGAGGCGATTGGATTTATACCCTGCTCTTCAGTACCCAAAGGAGTCTCAGAGCGTCTTACAATCTCCTTTCCCTCCCCCTCCCCACAACAGACACCCCGTGAGGTAGGGGGGGCTGAGAGAGCTCTCCCGAGGACTGCCCTTGAGAGAACAGCTCTGAAAGAACTTGTGACTGATCCAATGTCACACCAGCAGCTGCGAGTGGAGGAGTGGGGGAATCAAACCCGGTCCTCCCAGATTAGAGTTTGTGCTCTTAATCACTACACCAAACTGGCTAAAGAAAAAGAAATGAAGCCTCTGCTGCCCTGGCGTGGATAGCCCAGGCTAGCCCGATCCGGTCAGATCTCGGAAGCTAAGCAGGTCCGGCCCTGGCTAATATTTGGATGGGAGACCTCCAAGGAATACCAGGGCCGGGAGCTGAGGCAAGCGATGGCAAGCCACCTCAGAACGTCCTTTGCCTTCAAGCCCCACGAGGGGCTTGATTTGATGGCAAAAGAGAAAAAAAAGAAAAAAGAAAAAGAAGGGGGGAAAAGAGAAAAAAAGGGGGAAAAGAAAAAGAAGGGGGGAAGAGAAAAAAAAGAAAAAGAAGGGGGGGAAAAAAGAAGGGAGAAAAAGAAAAGGAAGGGGGGAAGAGAAAAAAGGGAAAAAAGAAAAAGAAGGGGGGAAAAGAGAAAAAAAGGGGGGAAAATAAATGAAGCCTCTGCTGAAAGACAAAGCACAATTTGGTGGCCTTCTGAAGGGCAGGTCAACAGATGAGAAAACTGCGGGCACCCTCCTTTGAGGTGAGATAGTAAACCGAGAAAGCTGCCTCACACAGACTTAGGCCATTAATCCATCTAGCTCAGGATAATCTAACAAGCAGCTTTCCCTGGGTCTCCAAGCAGAGAAAGATCCTTCCTGACAGCTGCTACCCGAAAATATCTGTTTGCAGGAGATGCCAGGGAGGAAGGGACTGAAACTGGGCACGAAAAGCACGTGCTCTGCCACTGAGAAGAAGAGGGAAGAGATTGGATTTATGCCCCGCCCTTCACTACCCAAGGGAGTTTCAGATCGGCTTACAAACTCCTTTCCCTTCCCCTCCCCACAACAGGCACCCTGTGAGGTAGGTGGGGCTGAGAGAGCACCGATAGAAACTGCTTTTTTTCAAGAACAGCTCTTATCAGAACTACAGCTTGCCCAGGGTCATCCAGCAGCTGCAAGTGGAGGAGTGGGGAATCAAACCCGGTTCTCCCAGATTAGGGTCCGCGCACTCCTAACCACTACACCAAAATGGCTCTGAGGGGCCGTGGCTCACTGGCAAGGCATCTGCTCGGCCTGCAGGAGGTCCCAGGTCCAATCCCCGGCTTCCCCAATTAAAAGGATCAGGTAGGAGATAATGTGAAGGACTTTTGCTTGAGTCCCTGGAGAGCCGCTGCCAGTCTGAGTAGACAAGACTGGCCTGAATGGACCGAGGGTCTGATTCAGTAGAAGGCAGATTCTGTGTGTCTGTATGGGGCTCTGGACCATCCCCACAACTGACACAGCTGCCTTGCACAGAATCACACCACAAGCCTACTTAGCCCCGGGACTGACTCACCCTAACGTCTTCTACTTGATTCCCCTTGAACTGGAGATGCCGGGGATTGAACCTGGAAACTATGGCATGCCAAGCGTGTGCTCGATCACCAAACTATGGCCCCAGCCTTAAAGGAAAAGTTCTGCAAGCTCCCAGATCAGGTGATAGACAGGGTTAGGAGTGTGCATTCGGTAAAGCCGAGCCAGAAAAAAAAAACCCCTCAAAAAAACCCTTTTCCGGCATTTTTTGGGTATTCGGCATAACGAATCAGATCCTCTGAGCTGATTTGGCGGCCGAATACTGAATGCCGGGAGACACTGCTGCCTGCCTTTTCCCCATCTCCATAGGAAACAATGGAGGATCGGGGGCACCCTTTTTGGATGCCCCTAGAATTGGACCCCTTGGTCCAATCTTTTCCAAAATTGGGGGGGGGGTTTGGGGAGAGGCTCCAGCAGCTATGGTACAACTTTGGTGCCTCTACTTCAAACCCGCTCTCCCCCAGCCCCCTGAATACTTGTTAGAAGATTTTTGCCATTGATTACAATGGCCCCATAGGATATAATGGAGCCAAAATTTTTTGGGTACCACTAGAATATCAGTATTGGTATTCAGGTATATTTGGGAATCCTGAAAAAATTCGGCTTTATTATACCCGAATCCAGAAAAAAAAATCCCCCTACACGCTCCTACACATGGTTTTGACAGTCAACAGACCCTTCTTGGTAAGCTTCGGCACTGCATAATTTTGGGGGATCCAACACCCGCCGCTCGGAGGCTCAAAGCAAAGTTGGTCAGGTGGTCGCCCCATCCGTCTACCCGAGTACGTGAAACTGTCTTCCAGCGAGTCAAACCACTTTATCGTCCACCTTTGTCAAAACAGTGTAGTTTCAATGCTGCTGTGGCATGGATCCATCTCTCCCCGAAAGCTTCCAGCTTCTTTGTGCTGATATTAAATCTCATTTTACTTATTTGTGATGCTGCAATGAGATGCCTTAACTTCATAAGGGAAGCCAGGGCCTTCAGTTTGCAAGAACTGAATGAGTCTGTTAACAATGTGACATTTGGAAGGCCACTAATTCACAGGGTCGCTGTAAGTCAGAATGTACTTGCCAGCACATAGCGCATACAATATCTGTGGTCATCTCCCTTCAGGAAATGCTCTTACCTCACCCAGGGAGGGGAAACGCAGCTGAGCCATTTTTCGGAGCTGACCATCCACGTAGACGTTCACGAGGTTCTGGCCGAAGGGCCGTCGGCCGGTGATGTGGACAATATCGACGCAATGCTGGAAGAAGTGGAAGGAGACAGAAGCATTTGTGGATCCCCCCCAGCAGAGGCACCCCTTGCCTGGGGTTATAAAATACCTTGAACTGGCCCTGGAAGAACTTCTGCACTGCCTACAGATTTCAGCATGAACAGAGAATGCCTACTCGAGCTGACAGGAGGTTGGGGAGGGGGCACAGCATTGTAGGAGTATTTTTAAAAAGTAGCATCCTGTACTTACCCAAAATTCATACCGGAAGTGACAAAGGGTAGCTCTAGGAATCGCTGGAAATTCTATGGTAAAATCATAGCATTTCTGGAGATTCCTAGAGCTACCCCAGAAGGTAGGTCTAGGAATCGCTGGAAGCTCTATTGTAAGACCGAACTTTCACCAGGGGCTCAGCAGCTCTAACATGTGCCTGTGACTGACAGTGTAACACAACAGAGCTTGCCATACCCAGCGAGTAGAAACTACAACTCCTGTGACTTCTACTACTTTGCTAAAGCAGGAGGATAAAGCCAAGCAAAGGAACTGGCCGGGGTACAGCTAGCAGTTGGGTTGGGTTTTTCTAGCTCTACATACCCAGGCGCTGTCATTGAAAGGAAACTCTGGGAGAGCGACCGTCATGTACTCCTTCTTGGTGCAGACAGCCACCACCAGCATCCCGTCGGCTGTGAAGAAGGCCTCAAAGCCCGTCCCGCTGGCTGTGAAGAAACTGGAGGGAGGGAAATTGAGGGGTAGAGAAAGGTGAAAGAAAATGGCAGGCGTGATTGGATTAGGTTATTCTCTTAGGAATTTCAAAGGGAGATTAGAAAGAGAGATTGCTGAATTGCTACTGACAATGAAACTTGAGACAATGCATCCTCCTGGACTGAATCAAGACCTAGGTTTCCTGTCTCATCACCAATGCTCATTTCTCCACGCCAACTACCCCTCTGCATATCACACCGAATCCAATCACACTTGCTATTGTCATTCACCTGCTAATGTCATTTGGCATCTGAAATCACTCCATTCTAATACAGAACTGATATGAATAACAACTTCCTCCCGGGGAAAAACTGAATGATGACTGGACACATCAAAAGCCAATGTTTAAGGGAGGCATCCTGTGAGTTACAATGCTAACACTTAAACACTTTACTCAGTCCTTCGCTAAAGAGTCATGGTGGTGTCCGGTATATCCTAAAAGTAATTTTTTGGTGAATACGTTGCAATTTAAGAAGAGAAGAGAAGAAGAAGAAGAGATTGGATTTATACCCCGCCCTTCACTTGGAGTCTCAGAGCGGCTTACAAACTCCTCTCCCTTCCCCTCCCCACAACAGACACCCTGTATGGTGGGTGGGGCTGAGAGAACTCTGACACAAACTGCTCTTTTTCAAGGACAGCCGTGCCAGAGCTTGTGACTGACCCAAGGTCACACCAGCAGGTGCGAGTGGAGGGGTGGGCAATCAAACCCGGTTCTCCCAGATTAGAGTCCGCGCACTTAACCACTACACCAAGCTGGCTCTTACCAAGAGTAAGAACCAAGAAGAGATCAGGTATAAACTCAATACACCTTACGGATCTTATTTTGGCTACAACAGACTAACCCCCCTGGAACACGTCAGCTTGGGGCTTCATGCGATACGGCATCCCCCTTACCCTACGGCGCACCTCCCTGCCTCCATAGCCGTACCTGTACAGCTGCTTCCGCTTCAGCTTGGCAGCTTCCTCGGGAGACTCCTTCGCCTCCTCCACGAGGCACACCCAGCCGTGGAAGGCAAAGCCGCTACCTGGCCATTTCTGGATAGCAGGCACCATAATCCCCGCCATGCTGGGGGTGAGGTCAAAGTACTGCAGGGCTCGCTCCGGCCCGTCCTTCCGGGCCATGCCCGAGAGCGCGCGGATGACTTGGGTGGTGTACGGATGGGGTCCCTTGCCTGGGTCGGTCCGGAGGAGCTTGAGGAGCTGCTTGAACTCGCCTGGCCGGATGGAGAGGCCGCCCAGGACCTGCAGCAGGCCGATGAGGTTCTCGGCGCACTTGGCATCCAGCTGGCGCTCGGCGGCGCACAGGGCGTCCAGCAGGCAGCCGACCATCCCCGCCTTCACGCAGGTCGTGCGGCTCTGGAGGGAGGAGTCGCAGACCTTCTTCAGCCAGTCGGACAGGAAGACCTGCAGGTCCCGCGACGCCAGCTCCGGAAGCCACGCGATCAGAATCAGCAGCGGCTGTTCGTTGCGGATCGGGCGGGTGGGGCAAGAGGTGTGGTCCCCTTCGACCGCCTTTGGGGTTTAAGAAGAGCAAGATTAAGAGGCGAGGCCGGATCGATCCCGTGGTTTATCAGCATGAGGCATTCATTTGTTTATACCCCACGTTTCTCCCCAGTTGGGACTCAAAGGGGCTTAGAACATCGTAATCTGCTCCTCCGCCTTCTCACAACAACAACAACAGCCCTGTGAGATGGGCTGGGTTGAGAGACCGATGGGCCCAAGGTCACCCAGCGAGCTTCCCTGGAACGACTGGGGATTCGAACCCCGGTTGTCCGAGTCGGCCATTCTATCCACTACACCCGATTGGCTCTCAGTACTCCTCATCCCCATAACGCCCGAGGAATGACGGTCGAGGGTTTTATGACTGTCTTCCTGCTCCTTTTTCTGAGATGCCACCTGGATTCCAGACTGACAGCATAGAGGAGGAGGAGACTGGATTTATACCCCGCCCTTCACTACCCAAAGGAGTCCCAGAGCAACTTACAATCTCCTTTCCCTTCCCCTCCCCACAACAGACACCCTGTGAGGCAGGTGGGGCTGAGAGAGAGCTCTTTCGAGGACTGCCCTTGAGAGAATAGCTCTGAGAGAATTTGTGACTGAACCAAGGTCACCCCAGCAGCTGCACGTGGAGGAGTGGGGAGTCAAACCCGGTTCTCCCAGATTAGAGTCCGCACCCCTGACCACTCCACCAAAGTGGCTCTTGGGTTCCCCCTCCCTCCTACCCAGGGGTCATTTCGGAGAAAAAGAGGTGCAGGAGCTCATTAGCATAACTCATTTGCATCTCATTTGCATATGCCACACACCCCTGACATCACCGGAAGTGTGTCAGAAGGCAACACCCAAAGCTCAGGCTCCACTGGACTGTTTTGGATTGCTAGCTATTGGGGGGGGGACATTCAGATCTGTCCTCGCAGAGGAGGGAGAGCTTGTACCTGAATAAAACTTGGTCTTAAAGGTGCTACTGGACTGTTTTGGATTGCTAGCTATGGGGGGCGGAGTGTGCAGATCTGTCCTTGCAGAGGAGGGAGAGCTTGTACCTGAATAAAAGTTGGTCTTAAAGGTGCGACTGGACTGTTTTGGATTGCTAGCTATTGGGGGGGGGGGAACGTGCAGATCTGCCCTCGCAGAGGAGGGAGAGGTTGTACCTGAATAAAACTTGGTCTTAAAGGTGTGTCTGGACTGTTTTGGATTGCTAGCTATGGGGGGGGGAGAGTGTGCAGATCTGTTCTCGCAGAGGAGGGAGAGCTTGTACCTGAATAAAACTTGGTCTTAAAGGTGCCACTGGACTGTTTTGGATTGTTAGCTATTGGGGGGGGGGAACGTGCAGATCTGCCCTCACAGAGGAGGGAGAGCTTGTGCCTGAAGGTGGGATGGGGGGGTTCTATGCAACTTACCTGGCTGCTTCTTGCTCCTCGTGGCCCGACTGAGGGCTGCTGGGAGCAGGGGGTGGGGCTTGTTGCATGTGCCCGCCCCCTGGGCTCCTTACTGTGCGCTCCCGCAGAAAATGACCCCTGCTCCTATCCCTATGCCTTCTTAAATCCTTTCTTTCTTTCTTTCTTTCTTTCTTTCTTTCTTTCTTTCTTTCTTTCTTTCTTTCTTTCTTTCTTTCTTTCTTTCTTTCTTTCTTTCTTTCTTTCTTTCTTGGAGCTCAGGTTGCCTGCCTGCTTCTCCCCCCCCCATTTTGCTGCCACAACGCCCCTGCCAGGTAGGGAAGCCCGAGGGCTCAAGCCCGAGGGCTCAAGCCCGACTGGCTCAGGGTTCCTCAGTGAGCTTCACGACCGTGTGGGGACTTGCCCGCTTCCTTCCTAAAGCAGCCCAAGGCCTCCAGGAAGAAACGTGATCGATGACAGCAGCCGCGAGCTTCCCAGTCTGCAACAGGGACCTGCGAAGCCTCGCGGCTGCTGTTGACAATCCCTGGTGACAACTCCTCCTCCTCCTTCCTGTAGTCTCTCAGGACCAAAGAGCTAATTACGGGAATGTGCTCCTGCCGCCAGCACCCCTGGGGACTTTGTGTCAGTGGTGCATTCCAATGCACTCTTTGCTTTTTTAAAAATTGCAGTCCCATCTGCTCCACGACGGCAGACTCCTTCCAGCCAGCTGAGGTGGGTGTGGGTGGGAATTTGGCAATTCCTAGAGTGGAAAGTGGCTCAGAGGTTCAGACGCTGAGCTGCAGACCGGAAGGTCAGTAGTTCGGCAGTTTGAGACCCGAGTGTGCCACGTGACGGAGTGAGCTCCCGTCCCTGGCCCCAGCTCCTGCCCGAACTAGCGGTTTGAAAGCAAGAAACTGCAAGTAGATAAATAGGTACCGCTTCGGTGGGAAGGGAACAGTGTTCCGTGCACCTCGGCGTTTAGTCATGCCAGCCACATGACCACGGAAACGTCTTCGGACAGCGCTGGCTCTTCGGCTTGGAAACGGAGATGAGCGCTGCCCCCTAGAGTCAGATCCAACTGGCTTTCGAGCAAGGGGAAGCTTTACCTTTAGAGTTGATTAACACCACCTCTGGGTTTTCCCCGGAAGTGACGTCCCGCTGTTGCTCGATGGTGCCGCCCACGCCCTCTGACTCCCACCGGTTGCCAGGCAACTGCAGTTTCAAGGCATCCTCCCTTCCTGACCTCAGGAGGACCAGGGCTGCAGATGACCTGAGATGAAAGCAACCGGTCCTCACCATGTTCAGCAGTTCCTGCAAGAGCCTCCAGGTCGGCTGGCTCTGGCTCTTCAGAACTTCGTACAAGTGGGAGTAGCCGATCCGTTCTTTGAACACCTCCTGAAAGGGCAACAGCCAACGACAATTAGACAGAAGACGCTTCTGCAAAGCACCGTGCACTTCCATTACCTACAGTTGCCAACTCTGGGTTCTGAAATGCCTGAAGATTTGTGGGTGGACCCTGGGAAAGGATGATCAGGGGTCTGGAGACAGAGCCCTACGAGGAAAGGCTGAGGGCCTTGGGAATAAGAACATAAGAGATGCCAATGTTGGATCAGGCCAAAGGCCCATCCAGTTCAACACTCTGTATCACACAGTGGACAAAAATACCAGGTGCCATCAAGAGGTCCAGCAGTGGGGCCAGGACACTAGGAGCCCTCCCACTCTTGACCCCCCCCCCAACAACAAGAAGACAGAGCATCACTTGCCCCAGACTGAGAGTTCCTATCTATACCTTGTGGCTAAGAGCCACTGATGGACCTCTGCTCCATATGCCTATCTAATTCCCTCTTGAAGCCATCCATGCTTGTAGCCGCCGCCACCTCCTGTGGCAGTGAATTCCATGTGTTCATCACTCTTTGGGTGAAGAAGGACTTCCTTTTATCTGTTCTAACCCGACCGCTCAGCAATTTCATGGAGTGTCCACAAGTTCTTGTATTGTGAGAAGGGGAGAAAATGCCTACCTGCTCTATCCCATGCATAATCTTATAAACCTCGACCATGTCACCCCTCAGCCGTCATTTCTCCAAGCTAAAGAGCCCCAAGCGCTTTAACCTTTCTTCATAGGGAAAGTGTTCCAACCCTTTTATCATCCTAGTTGCCCATTTCTGCGCCTTTCCCAATGCTATAATATCCTTTTTGAGGTGTGGTGACCAGAACTGTACACTGTACACCAAATGAGGACGCAACATCGATTTATACAGGGGCAATATGATACTGGCTGATTTGTTTTCAATTCCCGTCCTCGTAGCGTTACTCAAACTGTTCCCTCATGCGGACGTGAGCCGCTTACCTTGGCTGAGGGGGAGCTGCTCATGATGGAGGTGAGCACCCCGATGGCATGAACCGCGAGGGCGTCCGAACGGGTGTCGAAGACCTGAAGGTGAGAGAGAAGGGAGAGGAAAAGTCACTGATACCCCCTATTACACCTGGCAGGCCGGGCGGCTTCCCTCCATTTTGCGCCATTCCGTTTTTTCCTGACTGAAAGAGTTCTACTGACCCTACGTTGCAAGAGAAATAAAAGTAAAACGACGAACGCCGAGCAAAGGGTAACAGCCGCTCTAGATTTTTACCGAATCATTTGGAATTAAAAGGAGAAGAAGAAGAAGCAAAACAGCAGCCAGGAAAAGAAAAGAAGCTCACGGTGCGAATTCTGCCCCTCCCGCTCTCAGATAGAAAATCACACGGAAACATCAATATACCTTGAGCGAAGGGAAGATACGAAAGCCCCCTAAAACTGAATGTGCTGGAAGGAAGGTTCCCCCACCCCCTCGCCTCTTGCAGTTGTATTTTGCAGCATACATCACCAAAAAGCGGACAAAGAAAAGGTGCGAGCTCAGCCTACATATGTCCGTTAGAAGCCAAACAGAGAAGGAAGAAGGGGAAGGGGGGAAAAGGCAACCAAACTTTATCTCCTGCGTGGCTCTCAAGGGTGTCTTCTGCGCTTCAACAATCGTCTTTGGTTAAGAGCCCTGGCTGCTGTCCGTAAAAATTAAGCTCAATTTAAGGATATGTTTCTTCCTTGCACGACTGCAAACTGCGGCCCTGGCTGACCTTCTGCTTGCTATGGTGGTTAACTCTATGTCAGGGCTGTACTGCAACAGGTTGAATTAAATAACAGCTGTAAAAAAAATAAAAATCCCTGCAGAGAGAAAACTAGCTAGGCTACAAACCTTCTCCCTGATAAGCTAGATTTCGGCATGTGTGGATTTTTTTTTTTTTGGTGCACAGGACTGTTTGGTGAGAGAGGCAGTTTTCCCCATAGCTCAAAGCCGTACAGGACAGAGCACCTCAGTGAGAACAAGACCTGAATGTCCCCTTCGGATTTACATTCATCCCACTCACGATACGCTACCATTTGTGCGCATGGTTTTAAACCGTGCTTCCCAGGCGGAAACTTTTAGGCTTATCTACGCTTTGAAACGGAGATGAGCACCGCAACCCTAGAGTCGGATTCGACTGGCTTTCAAGCAAGGGAAACTTTACCTTTACCTTTTACTCTTGATATGTATGGAGAGTTACATCACCTTAAACCCCGGTGTAGGAAGCTCATGGGAAACTGTGCTGTGTATAATACAAATGCCCCGACAAATTATCTCTGTGAGACTCGTCTTATGCCCACGTGCCACGTATACAGCACCAAGTTTAAGTGAAACAGCAATAAGGATCTTTAGCAATCAATGGCTGCGGTCACACACACTAAATCAGGGGTGTCGAATTCATTTGTTATGAGGGCCGGATCTGACATAAATGAGACCTTGTTGGACTGGGCCATGTGTGTCATAAAATGTAATGCCAGGTACTGGAGATATAAACTTTATAAAGGACACAAACACAAATGGGTTTACTTAAAATAAAAACACACCTAAAACATTAGCACTCTTGCAATATTTTGTTTATTGAACAGTGTCTGATAACTGAACCTCTTGCTCTGAATTATTGCATCGAAATGTCTGTGCTGTTGCAATCCCGATCGCGAGTGTGCTGTTCAGGTGTGTCTCTGTAAGCTGCAAACCTACGATGACGCAGCAGCAGCAGAACTGGAAGAAGAAGCAGAAGACAGCCAGTTCCACTGCAGGCCTCACAGAAGCCCTCTGGGGGCCTGATCTGGCCCCCGGACCACATGTTTGACACCCCTGCACTAAATAATCCATTTTTCAATCCACTTTCAAGGCCGTTGGAAAGTGCACTGAAAGTGACTTAGTGTGACAGCGGTCCAAAACAATACCAAAAAAATTGAAAAATATGCATACTGATTAAGTATTAAACGCCACAGAGGACACTGTTTGGAAGAGGAGAGAAGCCAAAAAATAGGGTTCCCAGCTCCTGGTGGAGAAATACCTGGAGATTTGGGAGGTGGGGCCTGGGGAGGGCAGGGAGGGGCTTCAGAAGGCCATAATGCCGTCGAGTCCACCTCCCAAA